GTCTGTTTTTGGCCATCAAGGTTTGATGACCCCCATCTCCTCCTTTCTACGTACATGTTATAACCATCACTCCGATTGGTTTTGTTTATGAAACAAGAGATTCCTCGAAACCCAACTTTTCTTCGTATATACTTCGTTTGTCAGCTTTGAGAAGCACCAGTAAATGAAATATATGAAATCATATACATGATCTAATAGTAGTCCCCAAAACCTGTTCATAAAACAGAGAAATAATTAACGTCGTCCACTGTCATGGCAAATACAACTTTGCTTCATATACAATCCCACCAGAATATGATATGTGAAATGACCTGTCTTTCCTTTCAATTCATATTTGCTCTGCGACCCAAGGATGCAGCCAATGTGGCAATGTGGCGTAGATTGCACCCTGAGTTGTCATGGTACGAGTCCAGCTGTGGGTGCTGACGAGGAGACGAGTGGAAGCGAGGTCGAAATCGCAGTCCACCTCAGCCGGGATGAGAATACCTTTTTCGAAGCAAGGTCGAGTGAGACCAATTCAATGGAATCGTAAGCTACCAGGCCCCCTTATCACTTTAAGCCAAATAGGGTGAATATAATTTATATGAAAAAGAAGTAAAACTTTGACCCTCGGGTAGACCCAACACCGTCCAACGCAAATAAGACGCAACCACGAAGGAAAACCACGATAGCTTGTACGATAGTCCGTTGGATACACGAAGAGAATGAGGCTTTCGAAGCATATTCCGAGCTATGATTGCTGTAAGGACTTTCATTTCATACACTATGAACCATGGACGGCATCAACCTGAACGGCGTATTGGTACCAAACGGCTGCAGGACAACGTGAATCCGACGGCGTCTTCTGGTGAGATGGACAAAGCAATCTCTTCAGCATGTTCTTCCATGCGAAATGAAAGTCTCCACAAACATCTGACAGTTCGGACAAATGACAAGCTCAGAGGACGGTTACATGTCAAATGGTATCTCGCTAAAAACAGGAGATACTGACTCACCGATTTAACGTTGATCCATTTGTCAAAGTAGTCCATCCGCTCGACGTTGATACGCCGGCATTGTGACGGCAACCTGGAAAGATAAAATAATTATTGTAAAATGAGCCAAGACAAGATAAAATACGAATTCGGTTACGGGCAAGCAGTATGTATGAAGGAAAGATGGCCAAAATACACATTTGGCGGCGGTTCTTTAAGGCGGATTTCCAAAGACAAAAGCCGTTTTAGACCAGCTGGCCAAATCGCTCAAGTGCTAGCCTCCACGAATAAGCCAAAAGATGAATCCACACGATGTAGGAGACTTTAATGCTCTTCGGGTTCAAAAATGACTTGCAAGAGTTTATGCATTTCCATAAACAGGCATTTCTATCTTCACATACGAATCTCTGGAGATGGCAGTTGTGGGGACTTTAATTTCGTATGAAAGTGCATGAGAAAGAGAACAGAAGTCGGCCAACCAGTTTCATATGAAATTAAAGTTTCCACAACAATGGCATCTGACGAGATTGGTACATAAACAAAAAAAGGCCTCATGGGAGGTGTCTGATCCTGAAGCTGGATAGACAATATTTTATCTTAGAAGTTGTTTCACCTTGTTTTCGCAACTTGGTCATGTTGGCAGGAAGACGTAGAGGAACGCACCAAATCCGGAGTCCATTGTATGCATCACAATTTCCAGAGTGGGACCGTCGACGTGGTACATTCGCAGACGTTTCGCCGGCATCGTCAGTGAGTCTCGCCATTCTCAGCACCGCACCACAACTCGTCAAAGAGACAAGCATGACCGAGTTGCGAAAACAAGGTCAAACAACTTCTTGAAACACCGAAAGTAGACTGCGATCACACAAAAGGCCACACCATCTTGGTCTTCATACCTTCAATATTTTATCTTTTTATATGCAGGTTTTCGAGACCACCAGTAGATCAAGTCTAAAATATGCATTCACCCAATTTTGTCAACATGCAAAAGGACTGAAAGTTTAACTATTTTACAATCACATGAACGCACATTACAAGTCCACTCAATTTCATATAACCTTGTTTTCCCGAAGGGTTTTCTCATCTACACACAAGCAAATGACACTTCCGACCTTTGCTTGGTCTCATCACTGGATCACATTCTGTAGTGGGATGGGATTGTCGATGAACCTTTGCATTTACAAGCAGGTTCTCGAGACTACCAATACACTGTACATGAGATGCATTCACCCCATTTGGCTTATGCTGATATGGCGGCTGGTTGTTAACGTGTCGAGCTGAGACTCTGTCCATGATTGTTCGAGTCCCGCAAGGGGTTCCTGCTGGGAGCCCTTAAGATAGAGCTTGGCTCAAGCAATTGGCTGCCAGCGCGGACAGCGACCTCAACCTCGACTGCGGGTCGTTGGCAGCCTCGAAAGAGCCCCAGCTCGGAGTGCTCGTGTCGGCAGAACTCGTCGAGTCGTCGGGCGAAAATGGCGACGAGCATTTCGTTGGCGATAAGGCCCCGGCACAGCAGACAGTTTCGGAATAATGGCCCATTTTTATGGGGACAGAAGAAGCGTGCCACTGCCTCATGTGAGACACGGGCTGGCCGAGGAAATCGGCTGATTGCGATAAAACTTGGACAAAAAGCCATCTCGCAAGGACTGTTGGCAGTTGGCTGCAGTTTGCGACAAATTCGTGAAGAAGGCATGCGTCGGTGCTCTGCTGGGCGAGTGGAAAGAGGACGAGTCGTGCCTGGGAAAGGAAAAAGGAATGGGCAAATGCCAATCCCATCTCCGATATGATACCGTTTTTTCCCAGCAAAAAACTCGCCTAACAAAGTGGCGTTATATATGAAGTGTGTTCACCCTATTTCGTTTAAGCTGATAGGGGGACTGGTAGCGGAATTTGCTGCAAAGCAATGAGTAGCAATCCTCAAGGTACATATTTATTTACTCATTTTTACATTTTAATATTTATAAATAGGCTGTTTAACCTTCTTTCCTAGGGTCACTGTTGGTTTTTTGACGTCGGACTAAGGTCAGGATTTGTTATTTTTCTTGAAGATATGAAGACCAAGATGATGTGGCCTCTGGTATGGTTGCAGTCTCCTTTCGATTTACAGAAGTGGGTTGACCTCGTTGTCGCAACTTCGTCTTGTTGTCAGGGCGACTTAGTAGAACCTTTTCAGATGCCACAACATCTTGGTCATCATATCTTCGATAAGTTAATATTCTTTTATTGAAGATATGAAGACCAATATGTTGTGGCCTCTGGTATGGGCGCAGTGTTCTTTTCGATTGATAGAAGTGGGTTGACCTCGTTGTCGTAACTTGCTCTTGTTGTCAGGGCGACTATGTCAGAATAGTTGTCATGATTCCCAACATCAGACAGCGGACTTGGTACATTGTCAAACGTTTCGTCGGCATCGTCAGTGAGTGCTGCCATTCTCCGCACCAAACTGCAAACTCGTCAAACGGACAAGTGAAGTTGCCGATGAGGCCATGTTGCGAGTTGTCTCAGAAGGAATATTTGTTTTGAAATGAAAACTCGAATACCAACAGACCAACGGTTTGGAATTCATCTGACAACCGAGGCCTGTCTTGGTCTAAAGTTCTTGCCAAAGGCCAGATTGAATCGAAGTTAGTGCACAGAAAGTTCTGCCGAAAACGGTTGCACGAATGGTTCCCAAACTTTTCTTAGTCGCGGCGCCCTTTTTCAATTAACATTTTTTAATGGCGTCCCATCCTAATTATGACTATTCACAAGTAAGAGATACAAATAAATAAAATTCGTGTAACTTCATTATTTTATTTTTTTTACTTTATTAACTTTAAATTAATATTTAATAATTAATGTGAAGGATAAGCCTGCAAATTACTGCGAATTTTCTCAAATTGAACCTTTTACAATATTTCGCAGCACACAGTTCGGGAATCACTGGGTTACACTTTCACTCTACTTTCTGTCAAGGGCCTATCCATCTACTCTTCACCCTCTTATCATACCTTCTCACTTGTCTACATTCCACTTGTCAAGGTCATGTGCCATTTTGTGGCAAATCTAGTCGCTAGGACAACGAGACCAAGTTACGACAACGAGGTCAACCAAATTATAATGTTCAACTTTTGAAGATATGAAGACCAAGATGTTGTGACCTCCTGTAGGGTCGCAGTCTCCTTTTGATTTAAAGAATTGGGTTGACCTCGTTGTCGCAACTTGGTTTGGTTGTCAAGGCGATTCAGTAGAACGCACCTAGTCAGAAGTCGTCTGTCATAGTAGTTGTCATGACTGCTAACATCAGACAGTGGACTTGGTACATTTTCAAACGTTTCGCCGGCATCGTAGTCGGCATCATCAGTGAGTTTTCCCATTGGCTGCACCAAGCTACGAACTCGTCCACTGTCAGATGCTGGGAATCATGACAACTACAGTGGCAGACGACTACGGACTAGGTGCGTTCTAGTGAGTCTCCCTGACCAGAAGACCAAGTTGTGAAAACGAGGTCAACCCACTTCTTTAGTTATTTTTTGTTTAGAAGTAGCCTTCCAAGACTACCAATATATCATTTATATGAGATTTATTCACCCATAAATAGACTGGTAGTTAAATTTTCCCACAATCCGACGATTAGACCTTATGTTCCCATTGAATTTCACATAAACTTGCTTAAGAGAAGGCATTCACACCCGGGTCGTACCTTATTGTAAACCTCGCCTAAATCTCATCAGCACACCAGCGAGACTTGTAGCTTATGATGCCGACACATCAACCACTACCCCGAATTGCCACAAATCACTTTGGATCACAAGGCAGATGTGAATCTCCAGGAAGGCCATATCGTATTCTATGTTGGGACAACCGATATAGCAGTTGCATTTGCTACAGCAATTGACTGCACTACTTATATTTCGTTAGAAGTAGGCGAAATACAACGGAAACGTAGAATACACTCATATGATTGTGGCAAAATTAAACTACCGGTCTCTTTATCATCTTGAACGAAAAGGAGTTAACGCACTTCGAAAGCATCATTCGTATCTTCATGCCGTGGCAAGAAAATGTTGTCGTGTTTGGCAGGATGAGGTTAAATGGCCTGTGAACAAGGAGATGGAGAGAGCTACACAGGCGTTTAGTGACAAACTGCGACAACCTCGTCGAAAAAAGATTTGCACATCCACCACAACAATATATTAGATTTATGAACTTCAGGAAATCCTTCCACTTTTCTCTTCCATAGGATAAAAGTCATCCAGTTACTGCATTTGCACTCTTGGTTGCAATGATGAAATGTTGAAAGCCCCTTCCAATTTTCGAAGGTGATCACGTCCGTTTTCCACCGACTTGATCTATTTATTTTGTGAATATTTTTAAGGGATTCATATATTTCCGCTTTGTAGCCATCTATTGGCCATAATTTATATAAGGAATTAAAGGCTTAACTGACTAAATTCAAGGTATGAATATCAAGATGGTGTGGGCTTTTGTGTGGTTGCAGTCTCCTTTCGTTGTACAGAAGTTGTTTGACCTTGTTTTCGCAACTCCGTCATGTTGTTAGGAAGACTTAGAGGGACGCATGATCATTTCCAACGTCGAACCGTGGACGTGGTACATTCCCAAACGTTTCGCCGGCATCGTCAGTGAGCATCGCCATTCTCAGCACCACACAACAACTCGCCAAAGAGACAATTGAAGCCGATCCTTTGACCGAACGTGTGCTAAACAATTGTGCTATCTCCCCTTCTGCCCTGGCTTATTCGCTTTTCCTGTATCAACTTTTCACACCTTTACTATTACAATTGTTACCGTGTTTATTTAGATAGTGACTAAATTTAGTGTGAGATAGAGATCACATAACCTGGGCCTGATTTCGGCCATTCTGTTCTCTCTTTTACGTGTCTACTCCTGCTTTCCACGCTTATCGATGACTCTCTCTTTATAGACGATTATTAGCTCTTACGTATGCTCTGAATTGTCGAGGAGACCCAACCCATCTTCATTTGCCCTCGGCCGTGTGCGGCAGTGTTTAAGCTAATTCTGTAAACTACACGAAGCAGGAGTGTTGACAATTTGGCTGGTTGACCGTTCAGATGGAATCACTCACATGGTCGACAGATCCCAATTGCCGCAGGTCAGGAACAAGAAACTGTCTGGCTCGTCAAGAAGGCCCTCGGCTCGCATCCATTCGTGGAACATCTGTCGAGACAAAAAAAATGTGAAAAAGGACTTAATGTTGACTTTGGTCACATTAAAAAGAGTAGGCCAACAGTCTCAATCGAGTTTTACACATCTCTACTTCCCAAAAGGGTATTCCCATCGCAAAGGGACTACGGTTTCGACGGCCCCATCAGCACCCGTCGAAGTAATCGAACTCGGGTTGCGCCCCTGAGTCACAGGACACATGTGGATTGCAAGAGCTCAGAGGCGTCTTCTACATCATAATTGATAATAAAACTGTAGAAACAAGTCGGCAAGCTTTCTTGACTCTAAAAATAGGTAAAATGCTCTAAAGTTGTCAGTCCGATGGCAGACTGAAGGTTATATGAGATGTATTCAACTAAGGTGAAGATGGACTGGTAGTAGAATTTTTCCACAATGACATGAGTTGAGCTGACGTTTCCATCCAAATTCACATAGCCTTGCTTTCCCAAAAGTTGTTCTCATCCAGAGTGGATTGCATTTTTGACCTCGCAGCAGTCTTATCAACACCCTCAGCGGCTATGTGAAATCGAATGGAAACGTTAGCTCACCTCATATCATTGTGGGACAATTCTTCTTCTACCAGTCCTTCATCACCTTAAACGAAATTGGCTGAATACATATCATACTAGTGATTTACTGGTAGCCACTAAAACAATACTTAATTCAAAAAATATGTGAAATTGAATGGAAACGTCAACTCAACTCATATGATTGTGGGAAAATTCGACTACCAGTCCTTCATCACCTTAAACGAAATTGGGTGAATACATCTCATACTACTGATTTACTGGTAGCCCCTAAAACAATACTTTATTTGAAAAATATGTGAAATTGAATAGAAACGTCAGCTCAACTCATATGATTGTGGGACAATTCTTCGTTTACCAGTCCTTCATCAGCTTTAACGAAATTGGGTGAATACATCTCATACTACTGATTTACTGGTAGTCTCGAAACTCTACTCTAAGACTAAAGGTTGCCACTTTTCACTGGAATTGTGAAGGAATGTCTCGAAGTGAATGCGAAACGAAAAGGCCCAGGCAACCGATGATCAAGTGGAATTAACCGTCCTCTTCTGGTGGGACCGACCTTCGAATCTCTTCCTCGTATGCCCTCAATTAAAATGAGAGTAAGATGAGCAAGCGTAAACCAAGACATCCTTCAAAGACCCACACACCTTGTCATAGTTGTCAGGATTATGTCCAGACAGTTCGTAGGCACGGAGATGGCAATTGTAGTGAGAAGCGTCAGCTTTCTGCTAAATGGTTGTGGCGTCTCTCTTCCTTCTGTTGAAGATACTGTCATTTCGTACGAAAGTACATGGAAAAGACCTTCGTAGGTTGATCTCCCCACAAGACGATACCTGTTTCGCGTTTTATTGCATCCGTTTAGCTTTAATACGACGTACAATCTGACGCCTCGCTCGTTCCCGTTGAAAGCTGGCTGAGCTCTCGTCCATCATAGGATGGGCGTCATTGGAATTGGAACTCATTCTTGTAAGAGTCTCGAATTAGAAATATGTCAAGAATACTGTTCGGCTGCATTTCACCTCTTTGAATCATTTATGAGTAGAAAACGAAAATATTTATGCATAGATAGACTTGCAATGATTTGACTAATTATCATTCATGTTGGTAATGCTAATTAAACTTTGGTTTGTTTGCGTGTGTTTTAGCATGATCAGCATGAAGGACAATTAGCGAAACCATTTTATATTTTCATTTTTTTCTTAGTTATGAGGTAAGATAAATTCGCACAGTCTTCTTGACCTATTTGCCACGTGAGACGTTTACAAGAATGAGCTGAGGTTCTGATGACGTGCGTCTTATGATGGACGAAAGATAAGTTCGTCTTCACCAAAACGATGCAGAATGGCTCGTGGATCGCGTCAGCCTGAACGTCGTCTTAAGACAGACCAGATTGACCTTCGAGTCTCTTCGTCATACGAAATAAACGACTCCCCATAAACATCATCTCTTCGTAGCTCCTCGTTCTGTTCTACATTTATCTATCCTTCCTCACCTGTTGCATCTTATTACTTGTTTATGCTAACATATTGTGCTCTCCGCATGCATTGTGACTTTTTCCAAAGTTACCTCCTTTTGAGTGAGTTTAATCTGGCCCATTTGCATTTTCGACGGAAGATGACTGCAACTAAAACAGAGCTTACACAATCTTGGTCGTAACACCAACATGAAAACAACAACATTGTAAAG